AGGAAAATTATATTCGGACTCTGAATTGAGTCAAGCATGACGTCCGTTCCCACTTCCGACCCTTGTTCCTAAATATTTCTAACATTTCGAACATTTTTTCGATTATAATGATAACAATTGAGACGTGAGCTTCAATATTCAGTTTACATGGTCTATAGATCTAAACTGGCCCTCCCTGCATCATTAGTACAGAACGATTAAGTTGAGCTGACCTTACCAGTGGCAAAGTTAACAATGTCGACCAATGAGAGCGCGTCGCGATCTCGCTCTCTCGCATTGCTAGGGGAAGAGGCGTTGGGAAGAGGCTATGCCTCAGCTGTCGGTTTTGTGCGATGTGATAAAAGAAAAGAACATTACAGAAAAACTGTAACACACAATAAAATGAAATTAAACATACGGAAAGACAGTTGGTGGTGGAAGTAATGATGATGCTGTAGTGGTGGTGGAAAGACCCTGAGTAGTCGGTTACCGTGTACTGAAACACTACCATTGGGTAGATCTAATGAGAGTGCAATCTTTTGACTTTTGACACAATTACACTATCCTAGTAGGCAACTCTAGTTCTAATTTACGTGAAATCCCCCGACAACTGTTCTATTATGTAACCTCCTTACACTCACATAACTCACTTAGAAGCTGAGTCCGAAGAAATAAAACATTTTTTTCGGACCCAAGTCTGAATAGATGAAACCCTTATTCGGACTCGAGTCCGAATAGATAATTATATTCGGACTCGAGTCCGAATATTATAGAGCTGACCAAAAATTATATATATATATGGAAAGGGGTAATTGGGGGTGGGGGTTTCAGGGGGGCTTTTTAACGTAATTTGATGTTCTTTAGGTTTGATACCTCTCGCTCGCTGCGTATCAAACATAGCCTATAGATCTAAATCTAGATCTAGGTCCAAATAAGTGGGGCACTGAAAAAGTGCCGATATGTGTCCTGAGTGGTCCTGGATTCCTGCATACTTTCATTCTCTCTGCTTTGTTGATGTTGATCTTCATGTCATAGTTACTTTCTTCGCTGAATCAGGTGGTGTGGTGTTGGACACTTTGTTCATCTTTGTGTGTCTGGCTTTGGTCATCAGCGAAGAGTAATTCGTTTAGGGCGTCTGGTTCTGTGTTGGTCTCTTTTTTGTAATTCTGTAAATATATATATTGTCATTTTATATATATATATATATATATATAAGTATAAGTAGTAGTGGTGATAAGACACAACCTTTCCTTACTCTGGATGTTATCTCGAACCATTCTGTGAGTCTCTTTGACGTTCTTACTGTATCCTGTTCTCGTAAATGGCACGGATGTTATCTACAAGCTGGCCTCTTATGTGGAATAATGTACATCACACAACTCTTCTGTTATAACTGTTAGGTACGTATCGGGATTTAGACAGTACCTTTCTTCTACTCAGTAGTCACTTTTCGGTTACAATGTACTAGAAGACTATAATAAAACCAAAGAGCCTTTTCAGACGTGCGTTTCTTCACTCTCTCTATATCTGTTTGTACCCACAAACCGAACAATATTACATGGTGGCAGCGGTTGAAAACGGTATATAAGTGTCATTTCTTTACTTTTTGAATCATGGCTGAACACGACACGGATGTTAACATTCAACAGGCCGGTGAAACAACAGTTCATCGCCGCGTGTCTCTACCCCCGCCGAAGCCCTTTGATGGGAAGGCAGAATCGTGGCCTCGTTGGAGACAACGTTTCAACAGGTTTCGTTCGTGCACGGGTCTGCAGAACAAGTCGCAGTCAGAGCAGGTCAGTACTCTATTGTACACTATGGGGGAGGTAGCCGACGACATCCTCACGACTTTGGTAGTCGAGGAAAGCACCTCTACATACACAGAAGTGATAGAGGCGTTTGACACTCACTTTGATGCACGCAAAAATATCATTTTCGCTCGTGCAAAATTCAACAAACGCACTCAGTTACCGGGAGAGAGTGTCGATATATTCATCCAAGACTTGCACAGGCTCGCAGATGACTGTGGCTATGGAGCCCTCAAAGATGAGCTCATAAGAGACAGAATCGTTGTCGGAGTAAGGGACGATGACCTGTCCAAACAGCTCCAATTGAAGCTCAAACTCACCCTCAGCGAGGCTATACAAATAAGCCGACAAGCTGAAGCTCGTGATGAAAGCCAGACACTTGTACGACCTCGAGTTGAGCTAGTCACAACAAAACCACACAACATGCGTAGTGCGTCAAGCGCTTCAAAGCCTCTGCACAAACCACACACAGGTTCCAAGAGACCTTGTGGATACTGTGGTCGCCTCCCTAGCCACAAACGAGACGCCTGCCCTGCCAAGTCGGCAGTCTGTGGTTCCTGTGGCAAGAGAGGCCACTATAAAGCAGTTTGCCGTAGTCACCCCAAAGTTCAGGAAGTCGGAATCAACTCCTACCACGTAGCTGAGGCCCCAGACTTTTTAGGTTCCATCACTGTGAACGAAGTCGACAGCCCAGATGAGTGGTCTGCTATCATCAAGTTGAATTCCGTCCCAACAAAGTTCAAGCTTGATACTGGTGCTGCGGTCTCTGTCATCGGAGACAGAAGTGTGGACACAAGTCAACCTCTCAATAGCTGCGGCAAAATTCTAAAAGGCCCTGGTGACACAACTCTGTCTACTCTTGGCACCTTTGAGGCTGATCTAAAGTTCAAAGAAAAAGCCATGAAGGAGACAATATTCGTTGTAAAAGACCAGCCACATGCCCTACTCAGCAGGTCAGCTTGTGTAAAGCTGGGTCTCATTGCCAGACTCAATGCAGTCCACGAGACATCATCTGATTTCAAACGAGAGTTCCCTGATGTCTTCAAAGGACTAGGACAACTGAAAGACCCATACACGATCAAGCTACAAGAAGGCGCTGATCCTGTGTGCTTGTACACAGCACGAAAAGTCGCACACCCTCTACTGCCAAAAGTCAAGACTGAAATTGACCGAATGCTGGCTGAAGGCGTGATCTCACCCGTAACTGAGCCCACAGAATGGTGTTCCGGTATGGTTGTTGTGCCAAAGAGAAACGGCTCAGTGAGAATATGCGTGGACCTCACCAGTCTAAACAAGGCAGTGCGACGAGAAGTCCATCCTCTGGCATCCGTAGACGAACAGCTTGCCAAGCTTGCAGGGTCTACGGTATTCACGAAGTTGGATGCGACGAGCGGGTTCTGGCAAATCCCTCTCGATCCAGACTCCAGAAGGTACACTACCTTCATAACACCGTTTGGGAGATTCTGCTTTAACCGTCTTCCCTTCGGCATATCCTCAGCCCCAGAAATCTTCCAGAGGAAAATGTGTAACATTCTGGACGGCCTTCCAGGTGTCATTTGTCACATAGATGACATTCTCATTCATGCACCTGATCAGGACACTCACAATAAGCGAGTTAGACAAGTTCTTCAGCGTCTCCAGAGAGCTAAGATCACTCTAAACGACAAGTGTGAATTTTCACAGCCATCAATCAAGTTTCTCGGGCACATTGTGAACAACACAGGCCTCAAGGTAGATCCAGCAAAAGTGGACGCCATTCGAAAGTTCCCTCAGCCCAAGAACGTCACTGAGTTACAACGCTTTCTGGGTATGGTGAACCAGATGGCAAAATTCTCTCCTAACTTGGCTACTGCAACTGAACCTTTGCGAGCATTGCTCAAAAAAGACTCATTGTGGACCTGGGGAGAACATCAAGAGGCATCTTTTCAATGCACCAAAGATGGCCTCACCACAACACCAATACTGGCACACTACTCGCCTGACCGGGAGACTATCGTTGCTGCAGATGCTTCCATGTCTGGCCTCGGGGCAGTACTTCTACAAATACAAGATGATGGTTCTCGCAGACCTGTCAGCTGCATCTCACGAGCTCTGACTGATGCAGAAAAGAATTACGCTGTCATCGAGAAGGAAGCCCTAGCAGCAACATGGGCATCAGAACGCTTCAGTGAATACATCCTTGGAAAGCAGTATACGCTGGAGACTGATCATAAAACCCTTGGTCCCTCTCCTCTCTACCAAGGAACTCCACAAAATGCCACCAAGGATCCAACCCGTCTGAGGCTGATGCGATTTTCACCAAATGTGCTGCATGTTTCAGGAAAGCATCAGATCACTGAGGACGCACTTTCTCGTGCTCCGACAAATCTGCCCTCAGATGCTGAAGCACTCTTCGTTGACGAAGTGGCAGACTTCGCTCAACAGGCTATTGACAGCCTCCCTGCTTCACCACAGAAAATTCAAAATATCATTTCACAGCAGAAGAGCGACCCAGAAACGTCGGAAGTCCGGACATACTGTACCAGAGGCTGGCCAGCATACATGCCTGAAAATCCACTTCTGAAACAGTACTGGACTAATCGTCACCATTTCAGCATTGTGGATGATATCCTTTTGTTTGACGATCGTCTCGTCATTCCACGGGATTTGAGAATGGACATTCTCAGTCGACTCCACGAAAGCCATCTTGGCATCACGAAGTGCCGAGCTCTAGCTCAAACTTCAGTCTGGTGGCCCAACATCACCAGTCAGATCGAGGACATGGTGAAGAAGTGCAACACTTGTGCAAAACTTCGACCTGTCCAGAAGGAACCTCTGCTCCCTTCCTCGTTTCCAGACCGACCTTGGTCTCGATTGGCCATGGATCTGTTTGACCTGAAAGGTCAGACCTACATCGTCGTGGTCGACTATTACTCTCGTTGGGTAGAGCTACGCTTACTCGAACAGCTGAACAGCGTATTCGTTATCAACAAACTCAAGTCCATCTTTGCCACTCATGGCATCCCAGAGACAGTCGTGTCCGACAATGGCCCTCAGTTTTCAAGCGCCAGCTTCCCAGCTTTTGCAAAAGAGTTTGGTTTCATTCACGTCACCAGCTCTCCGAGATATCCTCAGAGCAATGGAGAGGCAGAAAGAGCAGTGCAAACAGTGAAGCTTCTCCTCAAGAAAGCCAACGACCCGTACACTGCCCTCCTGCTATACCGGGCTACTCCTTTACAAAACGGGTATGCCCCAAGTGAGCTCCTCATGGGAAGGGAACTCCAAACCAAAGTTCCCATTATGCAGGACAACTTACACCCAAGTTATGTTGATCTACCCTCTATTCGTCAAAGGGAGGAGAAGAGGAAAGAGATCATGCGTTTGCAATACAACAAGAGACACGGTGTCAAATCTCTTCCAGAACTTTGCCCCGGTGATTATGTCCACATTCGAGACCTAGGCCGACCGGGCATCGTTAACAACAGACACCCCAATCCGCGCTCCTACACAGTGACCACTGAAAAAGGGAGCACCGTCCGCCGTAACAGAAGTCATCTCGTGGCTACCCCAGAGCCTACTACAACACAAGAGCCCGGAGACAACACACCGTCTTCGACACGGCAACCTGATACCCCAAGCCCTGCTCGGGAGTCAGCGCAAACGCCGGCGGCCCCAGTGCAGACACCACGGGTCAGCCGTTACGGCAGAAAAATCAGAGTACCAACGAGACTAGACCTGTGACCCAGTGACTGTGTGACCTATATTTAGCTCTGTGCTTTAAATTCTAATCTAAGTCTCAAGAACTCTTTAATTAAGTGTTGTAAACAAGTGAATAATTAAGTGTTGTAAACAAGTGAAACTTATAGAGATCTATTAAAATAGATGATTAAGTACTAGGACAATAACTTCGGGGGGAGATGTGGAATAATGTACATCACACAACTCGTCTGTTATAACTGTTAGGTACGTATCGGGATTTAGACAGTACCTTTCTTCTACTCAGTAGTCACTTTTCGGTTACAATGTACTAGAAGACTATAATAAAACCAAAGAGCCTTTTCAGACGTGCGTTTCTTCACTCTCTCTATATCTGTTTGTACCCACAAACCGAACAATATTACATCTTACACTGTAGTTTTTTTTCCACAGCTTGTTTCTGTTCACTCTGTCGAGCGCTTTCTCTTGGTCGACAAATACTATGTTTAGAAAGTTCCCTGTTGTGTTCTATTACCCTTTTGCACATTTGTTGTAGGGCAAACATTGCGTCGGTGAATCCTCTTCATTTTTTAAATCCCATTTGGGCCTCACTCAGAAATTGTTCAACTTTTTGTCTAATTGTTCGCCATTCCAATATCTTGGCGAACATCTTGCCCACATGGCTTAGCAGTGAAATGCCTCTATACATTTCGCAGTCTCTCTTACGTAAGGCTGTAGAAAGAATCAGGAGCCCAGAGGAGGGGGGGCAAAGGAGATGAGGGAGTGGGGACAGAAAGAGGAGACGAAAGCAGACGACAGAACATTGCTAGAGAGCAGGAAAGGATCGAGGTGAAAGGAGACAAATTTAGAGAAGAAGATGTTTCGGTCACTACCCGGATTCGAACCCGGGACCTTTGAATGAGAGGCCAACACCGTAACCTCAAGGCCACGAGAGCCCCCTCCAATTTGTTTACTAAATTATAATATATAGCCTAATTCATAATTAGACCTAGATTCTAGATCTATGTCTAATTTGCCTGTATTAACATAATCATGATAATGTGAATTGATTACCGATGTGAGTGGTGCGAAGCATCACTTTGTGTTGCAGGAGACCAGCGCGAGTTCAATTTCCGAATGGGGAGAATTTTGTTATTGGTCTTTCTGCTTAAATTTTGTGTCCCTGACAGGCGAGTAGGAATGGAGAAGCCCGCTATTGAGGCTGCCATTTCACATGGAGGAAAAATATATGTTTCAACTCAATGTTCTTTGATGAGAGGATTTATTACAACTGACTTGCTCAGGACACATATATATATCATATATGCCACACAAGAGTAGTGAGTGGAAGTTCACCAAAACAATAATAAAGAAGAATTAAGTTTTCAACAAGGAAGAGGGTACTAATATCATCAAGAGAAATAACTAAGAATAATCATACAAAAAGATAATACATACTATTAATAATAAATTCAGTTAATTCCCCTTGACCATAATAATGTGATTTTTATTCTAACACCCGCTTCCAAAATATGATCTAAATTGTGTTGATGGGGGTGTAAAAACACATACGATTTAAAAAGAAATTATTTTGATATTTTTGTGCATCAATCTATAATAAGATAAAGGTCTTACACTTTGTAAAGTTTTGTCGTAACGTTTTGTCATTTTGATATAGATTTAGATCTATATATAATATTAGTTTAGGGGACTGTTTAGAATTATTAGTATGTGGTTCTGTCTGTACAATAATGTCGTTATGTTCCATCTAGATCACTAAGATCAGGCGATCAGTATCTTTTAAGAGTTCCTAGAAAAGGGGGTAAAAAATTAGCTGAAAGATCGTTCGCCCACCTTGCTCCATCAGTTTGGAAATCTCTTCCCCAATCCTTGAGACATACAACATCTGAGTCTAAATTTAAGAAATCTTTAAAGACACATTTAATGACGTCATTTTTATGTCAGTAGATTCATGTTCAGTACAATGTTATGTAAATGACTATGTATCCATTTATGTATTTTGTGAATTGCATTGTGTATATTATATTTTATGCTCATTTCGTGACGATGTGTAAGCGTGTGTGTGTGATAAGCAAGTAAATGTGTGTGTGTGTGTGTGTGCGTGTGTGTGTGTGTGTGTGTGTGTGTGTGTGTGTGTGTGTGTGTGTGTGGCGTACATGTGTGTGCACATGTGTGCGTGTTATGTGTTCATGAGTGTGTATGTGTGTATATGTGTGTGTGTTTGTGTGTGTGTGTATAAATGTGTGTATTTGTGTGTACGTGCGTGTGTCGCGCTCGTGAATATTGTTGGTACATGCAATTATGTAAAGCGCCTAGAGCTGTGTTTACACGGGAGTGGGCGCTATAGAAATGATCTCCATTATTATTATTATTATATAATTACTCATAGCTAGGCCTTCATGTAATAGGTAGTCCAGCTCAAATCTAGGGCAATTAGTGCTAAAAAAAATACTGATAGTATAATTTTTATTTATTATATAATGTATAGAACAGTGGGAACTACACTGACAGGCCAGCAGAATATATCATAATATTCCTCGAGCAATTCTGACACAATATAGGGCCTATTGTTTAGTTTGAGAACAAGATTTACAGCTCTTTTAACACAAATATATCAAGTGTAAGTGCTGGCACTATTTTATCAAAGTTTTAACAAAGATAAATATTTTATGCTTGACTGAAAGTATGAAATTCAAGTTTGATCACTTTCCCAACACACTCAGAGAGTCTGTTTTGTTTCTAAAGATGAAGTTCTCCTCACTTGGGTTGGAGAAATCAAAGTTCTATACAGGGATGTGCCTCCCTTGATGTGTTCTTTGACTGACGACATGAAGAGCATGAAAGTTCTAGAGGTGAGTGTAGGAGTTCTAGAGGTACGTGTAGGAGTAAGTTAGTTCTAGAGGTACGTGTAGGAGTTCTAGAGGTACTTGTAGGAGTTCTAGAGGTAAGTGTAGGAGTAAGTTAGTTCTAGAGAAAGATAGGAAGTTTCTTACCATCTGGAGTATATGGCTGCTGTTGAAATACATTAAACATTAATGCCTGTATTGCTGGTGATTTTCAAAATTACGCAATATATCATTTGAATATATAATTCTAAAAGTCTTTGATAAATGTAATTCTATGTCATATCTACATGTATTTTTTACTATTCCTGTACAGTCACAAGAAAAATTCCCAACCGGAACAATAAAGTATCTTATCTGATCAAACTTCTACAATTACTAGAGCTGGGCGAAGAATCCATTCCGGAACCGATTACCACGATTAATGCTGAAGAAAGGTTCCGACTCCTTTTTACGTAAACCAACAGTTATCAGCTACTTTAATCACAAAAATCTTCTTTTTTTTGTTAAGAATTTATTGTTGAAAAATAAAAGTTAATGCTTTGTAGTGTTCCGGAATCAAGGTCATCCTAAATCTTGAAGATGTTTTGATAACCACAGGAAGAAATTATATCATTAGAAAGTAAGTAATTGGGTTCGGAGTCGAGTCCTACGATTCCTAGCTTTCAATAATCGCGAACCTAGCCGCCCAGCACTAACAATTACCCAATACCATCAGAATCTGAACATCTCAGCGGCAACTGGCCAAGGTAACCTAGTGGTTGTTCTTGTATTTGAAGTTGTGGTCAAGGTGGGGTGGGGCAGGGAGGGTGGGTTGGTTAACCTGACCATCAATGATTTATTTATAGAGGAACCAGAGGGAGGGTTCATGGTTCTTGGGCATTTTATTGCTGGAAACATTTCCTTTTCATATTAAAAAAAAAGTATGATCTTTATTTCTTTTGTTTCAGTTTGTGCGGTTTTTACGCAGCCATCAACATTTCACTACTGTGGTTGGCGACCTGTCGGAACAGGACACTGCCTTATTTCTTTTCTGCCCAGGTAAACTAAAGACACCTTTAGAAATTGATGTAGTTTCCTGTGCAAGAGTCGTATATATATGTAGCCTACATATCGAATTTTATCTGATTCTCTTCTCAACTTCAAAATTAGATTTAAAAATGGCCGCCATGGCCTAAATTGTATTACAGTCGTAAAAGTCACACACAAATGGACTGTTCGTAAATTTAGGCAATCGCAACATGTTTATGTCAACTTTATGAGTGCGGTTCATATATTATATGTGTGTGTGAGAGTGTGTGTGTGAGTGTGTGTGTGAGTGTGTGTGTGTGTGTGTGTGTGTGTGTGTATCTCTGTGTGTATGTGTGTGTGTGTGTGTGTGTGTGTGTGTATAATATATTAGCACCTTTCCTCCTCGACAATGAGTGGCCATCATAGATAATTTCAACTGTATACACACACGCACACGCACACACACACACACACACACACACACACACACGCGTGCACACACACACTCACACTCTCATATAATATACTTACAAACAGCTCACTTTTTAAATAATCTAAATATTGTTGGCCAGTCTATAAAACACCCACGCTGAATCAAGGGAGACGTGTGCACTCCCGGAAACATTTTCTAAACGAATTACTTTTACTTACTTTGAGATAATCGTGCAAGAAGTTCGTATGTAAATAGGATGTACTAAGGGTGAATTTGTTGATTTTTTTCTGAAAAATGGGTCTCTGTGGCAGCCATCTTGGACTTTCAAACCAGTTTCTTAGTGCACCTGAATTTCATAGAAAATATTGAAATGACAGCCTGAAATTTGCCTCAAAAGTGCAAACCTATGAACTGTGGATCTATAGGATTTTTACTTCTCTTTAAAAATAAAAAAGTGAACCCAAAGTCAATGGATCCTGAGAGTCAGTTGACGAAACTTTGGGGTTTGTTACAAAAAATTTGAATATTTCCACAAGTTACCAATAGTTCCCAATTTCCTCATGCAGATCCCCAGAGTAGATCTGAAAGCTCTTGTACATGTATGCCGAATTTGAAGCTTCTGGCTTCAGTAGGATTTGTAAACTCCTTGCACTAAGGAGGTCACGTATGTTAAAAAGCAGATTTTGAGAAAAACAGAAAAAACTGGAATTTTGTCAAGGATTTTTAGTTCCATATGTGAGGCATGCTGACAAAATGAGTTACTTCTCGCAATCCACAAATGGAGATATTGTCCAAAAATTGACATGAAGGTCAAATCTGTAGATTTTCTATTGATGCCATATTCTTTAACTGTAACATGCCTTTTTTATGTCATACTTTTATACATTGTCAAAACTTCACTTTTATGTATAGATATCTACTTCCATATGACTCGAAACCGAGAAGTAACTCATTTTGTCAGCACCCTTCACATATGCACTTTTCAAACGCCGTTATAGGTCAGTCAGGGTGTGTTTTCAATAGTTTGGACATTGTGACCCGATGAAACAGATAACAGATGTCAAAGGACGTTTATCCGTGAAAAACAAAAAATCGACATTTTGAAAAGTTCTATAAATATTCTCTGGGATTGCTGACCAGGGTCTTCCCTTAAACAGTAATCAATCAATAACACGTAGTAAACAATGTTGCACGTGTGGATGGTTTGCAGGAAACGGGGTTGAGGCGATGCATCGAAACTCCAGACTTGGGAACTACTCAGACTCCTTCACAAAGGCAAACTACGTCGCCATATCACACAAAGAGTAAGTTCTCCTGTTTGTTCCTGTCTTTTTTTACCTTCCTTTTAAAAATCTTTTTTTCTCATTCTTTTGACTCTTTTACACACTATATTACACGTCATGCACATAAAGTGGCACATTGTCCTCAAGCAGATTTTGGAAAACTAGTAACTGTTGAATATCAAGGTATTATGTGTTATTACATATTTTTACTGTCATTAACTGGTCATTAACCAAATTCATCTAATGTAAAAATTTTACCGAGCTCAAAATACACAATGTATATATATATATATATATATATATGTATATATATATATATATATATATATAGGTCTGGTTGCATCTAGCGAAGTTTACTGTTATATATATACATGTACCGTGTTGCAGAAGTTCTGTCATACCTTCTTTAGAGTACTTGTTTACTATTCAACATAGCCTAGAGACATTTTTTGTTGTTGTTTTTTTTTTAGTAAGTGTTTTACGGCGCTCGCAACTGCATAAGGTCATATGAGCGCGCGGGACATACCTAATACTTTTAGTTGGTAGGAAATTTTAAATATTGCCCGGGTGGCAGCCGAAACCTACTCTTGTCAATTTTAGACCACAAAGGGATCTTTAATGTGCGTAACTTGCGCACGGGCCGTCCGAGATTTTCCGCCCTTGTCCGAGAAGGCTAGGTGTAAATCTTTCCTACCTGAAGATCAGGGGTGTGGCAGAAAGACAGCAGTAAGGAGGAGCCAAGGAGTAGCAGTAGAAAGGCTGCAGAAAGAGTCAGGAGCCCAGAGGGGATGGGAGCACAACAAGCGGCCCGGGCGTGGAAGTTCATATATACCAACCCGTCACAGGGATTTTTTTCCCTGGCTGCACATGGGAAACACTGGATACAGCGACAAAGCACAGCTGATTAAATCCTGTCAATTCTTTGCCATATCGACAGACCGAAGGGCCAGAACCCAAATGGCCACTGATCGGAAAAGTAAAGTAAAGTAAAGTTCCCTGGCTGCTGATCAATATTACAAAGATAAACTAGTCTTGACAAAGATCTACGTAAGGAATTGTGCACTGGACCGTAGAATCAAACCTTACCGTACGCTAGGCTCTACACAGCAACATAACATGTGCTGATATGCTTCTCTTTACATGTACTCATTATAGTGCTGATATGCTTCTCTTTACATGTACTCATTATAGTGCTGATATGCTTCTCTCTCTCTCTCTTGCCGTTTTTAACTCCCAGTGGAGCACAGGCCATCAACAACATTACTCCAGCGAAGCCTGTCCTAAGCATCTTTTCCTATCTGTTTCCATTCTCTCCTCTCCTCGGTGATGAAGGCCTTCCATCTTCCAGAACTGGCGGTCGTATTGTTTTTGCTGTTGATGTTTTTGTAGCTGCTTTTTGTTTTACGGGAAAGGGCTGCTAGCTAACCCTTTGCCCAACCGACCTTAGTCGCCTTCTACGACATGCGCGGTACGGATACAGTGGTCCTATTCTTTGTTCCCCTGTCTCTTGGACAGGGCCCCGAGAACCACACGGGTGTGCTTCTCTTTACTTGTACTAAAAACTCAAAGCTCTTCAACTCAAGATAAGTACTTTAATTTTATCTACTCATGCTCACTTATTTCAATTCCACAGCTTGTATTTTTAAAATACCTCTAAAATTCCTCTTTCTCATTCTGTTATTTTCTTTCTCATCACCAGTCTCATCAATGAACGTCAAGCAGATGCCATCACTAACATCAACCTGAAGGAACAGCACGCCCAGTCGTAGAGAGTTCATATCTTATCGCCGACACATCACGTATTAAATATCATCATCTGTGAGGGAGCCATTTGAAAAAACAAAACGAATAACAAACTTCACAACATTAAACCCAAACTGAGACGGCGAAATCTTTCAGACCTGTCCGGAAGAGACGAAGTTATTTTTACTCGATTACGCATCGGACACATGGCCCTGGCCCACAAATGCCTCCTTCAGGCAGATGAGAAGCCGTTCTGTGTCGGATGTGACACAGATTTTACCATTAGACTCATTTTAACCGAATGTCTAGACTTCGGAGAGATCCGAAGGAAATATTTTAAAAGCAAAAAATTGCAAGATATTTTTTCCATCGTTGTTCCCATCAGAATTTTAGATTTTATGAAGGCCATTGGCCTTTATGGGAAATTATAAAGTGAAATAAAATTGTTAAAAATTTTTATGTTATTTAGGAAAGTTGTTTTAGATTGAAAATATGTACTGTGTGGGGAAAGAGTAAGATAGACAAACAGAAACAACAGAGGGAAAAGGAAGGAGGACCCCTATCAGTTATGCCGTCCAACCACCTGCCATATAACTAGCATCTGCGTTTGTCGCGGCCGCGACCCGAGAATCGCGGCTGTGATTTTTGGCATTTTTTGGTCTGCGAATCGCGGCCGCGATTTTTTTACATTTTTCCAAAAACCACACCGCCGGGGAATAAAAAATAGAAAAAAAAACGGGGTATAAAAAATGAAAAAGCAAAAAAAAAGAAGAAAAATAATAATAATAATAAATAAATAGCATTTGTATAGCGCATAACCCCGCTCAACAGCAAGCTCTATGCGCTTTACACTATATTATTACCCCAGCAGACCATAGAACATTCCGAAACATTCTCAGCTTCCTGGGAAGCATACAGTGCAAGCAGCTGATTAAGCACTCAAACACTAACAAACTGACAAGATCTTTCGCTGTCTATAGCCGGGTACCCATTCCCACCTGGGTGAAGTGAGGAAAATTCGTGTAAAGTGCCTTTCCCAAGGACACAACGTCGGGTCCCTGACGGGATTCGAACCCACGACCTTACGGTTGCGAGTCCGAGAGCCTAACCACTAGGCCACCGACCTCTTTACTTTTAGAAAGAAAGTTGATAAAACTTCCACTTCACGTCTTCTCTTTCTTACTTGCTGACCCCAGGTTTATTTGTTATTTTCATGTGAATAAAAGTCTTGTACATTACATACTATTTATATTGCTGTTTCTTTTTTAATTTGTCTCTCTTATTTTCTTGATATTGTTCTGATGTGTTTTTTATTTTTAGCGTTTATCGTAATGTCAATATCATTTAATCTGATGTTGTTCCTACCTTTTTAAAAAAATAAGATAAGATAAGATGGTACTTTATTATCCCAGAGGGAAATTTTCCTTGGCTGTACAGGACCGTAAAAACACATGCAGAGGTATACATTAAAAAAATTTTAATCATATATATTACTCTCATTAAAATTCAATATGAAAGGAGAAGTAAAGCTGACAAAATGTACATTTACATCAAATGCATCATTCAACCACATGCAGGAATTTAAATACTAGACCTTTGGAGTTATATACAGATACATACTCTAAGAGCAACACACATCTATACTCATTCTGACAAAAGCCTTATGCTAGATGGTAAAAAAACTTCTTTTATATCTTTCTTTCTTTGTTTTTGGAGGTACATATCTGCCGCTGCGTGATCTTACAATTTGTGTGGAAAAGGGGTGTGATGGGTCGTTTATAATGCGTTATGTGAGAGCGTGTCTCCACCAAACCCGAATACATGTACTTGTACTCAACTGACGCTGGCAGGCCCCTTGTGTGTGATTCCATAATTTACATATAATATCCTGTACTTTTTCTTGAATTAAACGCGTTTAAGGTTAAAACGGCCTCTCTTCGGATAGGTGGACATACGCCCTTATTTGTTACTTTTTGTGGTTGTTCTGTTCTAACTTTGATTTCATTCTGTTGATAAACCTTTAATTTTCCTGTTTTTAAACTCTATGTGGCTACAAATGATCTTCGAGATGCTTGAAACCGAACACAAGAAATTCTGGTGCTTTAGATTAAGTTACCTCTATCAACATATCGCCGTATACGTTGTCACACAGAGTTTAAAGCTTGAAAATTATTGGCAACTTTTATGTCGACTTTTTCCGCTTTTGTGGCAACTTTTGGACAATAAAATGGCAACAAACGCAGATGCTAGATTAATACGATTGATGAAACTGCAAATGTCAAAAGAATTCTGTACCAATGTTGAGCAGTTCTGATGGATGAAAGGAAAAAAAATCACTTTTTTTTTCTCACTTTTCTGAAAATCATTGTTCATCCATGGTTAGTTAGAGCGAGACGTGAATGATATGAGCATTTGCCAAACCATGGAGAATTACTCTTACACTGCAAATAAAACCAGTGGCAAAATGATAATTTTCAAGATGTAAAATCCTTTGTCAAAAGCTCTTGCCTATATAATATTTATGGAGGATTTTTGCGTGATAAAATCCTCATAAGCTATACAATGTACTGTGTCATGACGTGGTGGAATCAGGCGCTCGTCAATTTTGGGCACATGGGATTATTGGTATCATCTTAAAGCCTGTTCATTTGTCTTCCTTTTGGTGAAAAAAATATCCATCTATGTTGAATAGAAGTCGAAATATTTGCTATTGAAGAACAAAGAGTCACTTGGTTTCAGAGGTAAAATTATCAAGAAAATGGCCGCCAAAGTTTGGTTACTTCCATAGCTTGAGAGTCCTTGGGAAATGAAAATTTACAATTTTTGGTCCTTTAATCAACATTTTCCCCTAAAATCCACACAAAAATGTGTTTTTAAATGGACCTAAAGAGTCAAAAAACAAAAATTCGATGACAGAAAAATGCCAGTTTCTTTGATTTCATTTATTGTAACGAGCATCTGATTTCACCACGATGCCTCACATATATATAGGCCTATTTATGGAGAAATGCGTGATAAATCTTTATAAGCTATATTATGGAGAAATGTGTGATAAATCTTCATACTCTATATATTTGTGGAGAAATGCTTGATAAATAAATCTTCATACGCTATACTGTAGGATTGAGCAAATGTCATAACCTGCTTTTGAGCCACATTGTCCAAAATATCAGCGGGTCTTGTTTTTAACAGAGGATCATTCAGATAGATATATATATATATATATATATATATATATATATATATATATATGGAAATAGTCATTGAACTGCTTCATGTAGATCTACTTTTACAATTCACTTTCCCCTAAAGACATTCTGAATTCTTAATATATTATATGAAATTTTTAAGAACATAATTTTGTTTTGTAAAACTTTAAGCTTGTGTTTGTTGAGGTGACTTCAAAGTTGGTGGACTTGTACTTTCTTTAAAAAAAACGAGTAAACTCCAAGTTATTCAGAATAGCGTTGCTGTGTGAGTCCTGATACCTGTTGGCCCTAAGACAGACCACAAAAAAAACTCAGCCTCCCAGCCCTTAAAACCAAACATCTTCTATGGCTGCCAATTGAAAAGAGAATTATGTTTATATACCACCATTATTTAAATTTAAAAGAATTTCTGACCACGCACATTCTGTCAATTCAGCAGCAGGCATCAACTGAGCCCTCAAGATTAAGAATTATAATCATGTAGGAATCCAAGTCATTTAGTGTAAAAAAAAATGTTTGCTTGCCTAAACTTTGTTGAGCACCCTTGCACTAAAACTGAGAAAAAACCTCAAAATTCTGAGTCTTTGAGAAAAATAACTTTTTAGATCCTGAATTCTGATACTGTCTTTCTTTTTCACTTCAGGGTTTGTTTTTTTGTTTAAAATTTTTTTAAATTTGTGTATTGTTTACTTTATGTGATTGTGCTTTGCTCAGAGCTTGTTTCCTAACAGAAAAGAGCTCTCGGGTCTAGCATGCATTAAGCGAAATGGGTGGGCCGAGGAAATCTTTTAGTCATTACAAATTTTAATTTTGCAATAATGATTATAATCAATATATATAATAATTTCATGCCCCGTTGAGGGAGGTAAACAGAGTTGGCCGATTGAGTCAAATTTTTATGTGAATTATTATGGCCCTTGTATCTCGCTGACGTGCCTGTTGGGTTGTTCAAAGCCACTTTGTATCTCGCTGACGTGCCTGTTGGGTTGTTCAAAGCCACTTTGTATCTCGCTGACGTGCCTGTTGGGTTGTTCAAAGCCACTTAGATTTGCCGATTTGTTTTTTTTTACGTCGATTTTTTAACCCACCACTGCTAGGATCAGTCATTTTTTGTTGACTGAGAAACCTTTGCTTTGCATAATGTGCAATCTTGTTGGAGAGAAGTGCGTTGGTACAGGAGGGGATATGCCTTCAGTCTCAACATTCACATACACAGCTGGAGTGTGCAATTAACAAGTCGATGGTCTACCCTGAGGTGCTTGATAAAGAGGTTATAATATGGTTGTCCTTCTTTCATAACATGCCCACTCTCTCTCTCTCTCTCTCTCTAGCTCACCCTCTCTCTCTGCCCCCCCCCTTTCTCTCTCTCTCTCTCTCTCTATCTTTCTCTACCCCCCCCCCCCCCCCCCCACTTGCTCTCTCCCTTCTGTCCCTCACATCCCTCCCTTCTTCCCTCACCCTCTTTTTCTCTCTTGTAGCATCTTGACAACTTACATAAATGAGATGAATTTGAGTTGTGTTTCATTAGATTTTTTTGTGTTTTCTTTATTGGCTATTGTTTCAGCGCTGTTCATTTGTTTTGTCATGAATCATTTAGTGCTGAGACAAAGTAGGACAGACATAGAGAAACAACAGAGTAGGGAAACTAAAAAAGTAGGACAGACAGACATACAGAAACGACAGAGTAGGGAAACTAAAGAAGTAGAACCTACCAGTGGCACCCTCTGTCCTCCCGCCCTTCACAAATCAACTCTTCTTCCAATATTTACATTCCACTTTCTGAGAAAGTTATAGAGCTATGGCCTTTATAAGCCTTGATTTGCTGGAGAATGCTTGATTTGCTTGAGAATGCTTGATTTGCTTGAGAATGCTTGATTTGCTGGAGAATGCTTGATTTGCTGGAGAATGCTTGGT